TACATTATATAAGAAAACCACCTTAGAGTTTCCATCCATCCTGAGTGCTAGACAACATAATATCACGAAACCCTACAAATGGTGACCCCCGGAAAAAAGCACTCACACGGGATGGAGGACGGACGGATCTCTCTGCCGACTTTCAACCACAACGTCGAGGACTGGCTAGATCATGTGGAAGCAGCCCTCGTCGGCTCACAAGCGACTGATGAGCAAAAGTATGGCGCCCTGCTCTGTGCCTTGCCCACAGAAATGGCCAAGCGGGTCTCACAAACCATTTCCAGCCCTCCAGATGACAACAAATTCGCTACCCTGCGGGATGCCTCGAAGACGCGTTATCAACAGACCAGCCCCAATCTCCTGCAAGACCTATCCCAGGGCACGCAACATCCTGTCCGCAGTAGATTACTCTACGACACCAGAACTATATGTAACCGCGGCAGACAGAATTTTCAACGAGTGCGCTGCTGCACCCCTTGCCGCCACGGTCACACCAGTACCTACCACCGAACTTGTAAGCCGGGTCAACACCCCTCAGCCGAGCAATACCTCACAAGACATCAAGGACCTGTTGCAAACTTTGAACTGCAGGATGGACACCATTGAACAGTTCTGCTCCTCCATACCCGCTGCTGTGCCAGTTCCTGACTCACACACCACACCCTACAAGTTCCGACGCACAGCAGCCAGCCCCCAGCACAACAAATATACCTGGCTGTCAAACATTTCCAGCACTTCCTCGAGGCCCGTCAGTTCACCATCTTCACTGATCACAAGCCCCTCGTCCACGCCTTCGCTTCAGCTTCCCAGTCACATACACCTCGTGTCCTGCGCCACTTGGCTTACATCTCGGAGTTCTCCAGCGACGTCCAACACATTAAAGGCAGCCACAACGAGATCGTCGACGCCCTCTCTCGTTGTATATCCAACATTCTTCCCTCATCTCCACCCATTGATTATGGGCAGCTGGCCGCAGCTCAAGAGAAAGACGAAGACCTGGCAGCATACAAGACATCCCCCTCAGGCCTCACACTCCAAGAACTCCCTGTTCCTGGCACAAAGATAAAATTGTGGTGCGACGTATCCTGTGGGCAGCCTAGACCGTTCGTGCCTCACGTCCACCGCCGCCCAGTTTTCGACCGCATCCATGGTCTCAGCCACCCGGGTGTGCGGGCCTCCCAGCACCTCCTCACGCAACGTGTCGTCTGGCCCGGCATCAAGTCTGATACTAAGAAATGGGCTGCCCAGTGCCTGGCCTGCCAGTCCTCCAAAATACATCGTCACATACGGGCCCCCTTACAAACCTTCCCTATTCCCAAAGGCCGTTTTCAAGTAGTACACCTCGACATCGTGGGACCTCTTCCATCATCCTACGGTAGCACCTACATCTTCACCTGCATCGACCGTTTCACCAGGTGGACAGAAGCAATTCCCATGCCCAATGCTACAGCAGAGACTACTGTCCGCGCCTTCATGTCCGGTTGGGTTTCCCGTTTTGGCCCCCCCCACAACCGTAATCACTGACCGAGGAGTACAGTTTGAGTCACAACTCTGGCAGCACCTCCTACAGTTCCTCGGCATGTCTAGACAACGCACTACAGCATACCACCCTCAAGCCAACGGCATGGTAGAGCGTTTTCACCGGCAGCTGAAGGACGCACTCAAGGCACAGCACGACCCTTACAGCTGGACTGATGCGCTTCCCTTAGTGCTCCTCGGCATCCATGCGTCACACAAGGAGGATATGGACTGTAGCCCAGCAGATCTTACACTAGGCGAGCCCCTTCGGCTACCCGGGGATTTCTCACTTCCTCCTGATCCCCACCAAACCACTCCAGCCGTTCGTCACGACTTACTCCAAAAGCTACAACAAGCAGTTTCTGCATTCAGAGCTACTGCTCCATGCCAGCCTCCTCGGCACCCTGAACACATCCCTCCTGCACTACTCACAGCCGAGTATGTTTTCGTCAGGCATGATGCTCACCGCAACCCATTACAACGCCCCTACGATGGACCCTTCCAGGTGGTTACCCGTTCAGCAAAGTTCCTGACGATTATCCGGAATGGCAGACATGACATCGTCAGCATAGACCGAGTCAAACCGGCCACCTGACCCGTCGGGCCCCCAGCCCAGCAGCACCATCAACAAACTACGCCTGCACCAGTCTACCCGCAGTTACCACCGGCAGCAACACCACACCCACGACATTTCTGGGCACCCTCTTTTCACCCTCATGTACACCCTGTTCCTGCTGTAGAACCTGCTCCTGTCATAGACCCTCCTCCTGTCATAAAACCTGAACCTGTAATAGACCTCCCTCCTGTCATAGAACCTGCTCCTGCCATGGACCCTCCTCCTGACGCAGCCCCTGCAGCAGCAGGAGCACAACAACCATTGCTTGTACAACCTCCTCTAATCCCAAACCCTCTTTCTCCTCCTCATTCTCCCACAGGTTTTGTGTCACTAGACGGAGTTGTTACACGTAGCGGCCGAGTCGTACGTACACCTGCCCGGTATGTGTTATGTGTGGGACACAACCCGGACAACATCCAGCCTCCCGCCGCGCCGGGAGGGGAGGGGGAGTATTGTAGTGGACGTCTCCCCTACAACTGCGTACCCGCATTCCAATGCCACAGTATCTTAGCAACCAGCCACCTGCTACGTCTTCCCTAGCAACCAAACGAGCGGCCCAGGGGGGGGCGTCACCAGATGCCACAGTATCCTAGCAACGGAGTCAAGAAACCGGCGACTTCCCACGGTTTACTTCCGGCGGCTGTGTATATAAGCTCTGTCTCTCCATTGAGATTCATTCTACTCTACGTTCCTGAACACGCAACACCTCCTCCAAGCAAGCTCCTCGCTGTCCAGCTTTCATTCAACCAGGAGGCCAGCAACAGGCAACATCTTCTCTAACGAAGCTCCTGCACATCTACCTCCTTCAACACGCTACTCACCGAACGTGTCTACTGAGCAGCTCCTCACCACACGGCATCTCCAGCACCAGACTGTCTACCATATAACTTATATTATATAAGAAAACCACCACCTTAGAGTTTCCATCCATCCTGAGTGCTAGACAACATAATATCACGAAACCCTACAACTTCCTTGTGGTACTCCACTATAAAGTCTGAAGCTTGGGCCTTTGTGATTGCCTATTATAATGTGTGCTTCTCTATTGTCCAAGAAATTACACAGTAGAGAAGTGAAGTTGTTGGGGAGTTCTTGATTGGTTATTTTATATTTAAGTCCCAAGTGCCAGACCTTATCGAACGCTTTTGCCACATCCCTTAAAACTATGTTGCACTGTTCTTTATTATGCATTGCGTTTGCAATACTTTCGTATATAAGGGCTATGGCTGTGTTTGTTCCTCTGTGTTTCCTGAATCCGTGTTGTCTAGGGTTGTATTTGTATTCCAGTTCCAGGTGTGTTCTTAATCGTTGGTTAATTATTTTTTCCAAAATTTTTCCCGGTGTTTCTAAGAGAGAGATTGGTCTGTAGTTTTCTACTGCTGTGGGGGCTTTTCCCGGTTTTGGTATCAGTCTGATAATTGCTGTCTTGAATTTCTTTGGGTAGTAGCCTGAAGCTATGGATGCGTTGAATATATTTCTTAGTAGAAGTACCATGTTGCTTGGTAATTGCTGTAAAATGAGTTTATTTATTTTGCTGACTCCAGGAGCCTTGTTCTTAAAGCTATTGATTGTTCTTACTATTTCGTCCACCGTGATTGGTTTGTTTAGTGGGGACATGTCATCCAGTGTATTCAGGTCGATCGTGGGTCTCGGTTGCCAAATATGGGTTATTTGCGACATATGGTTGGATACTTCCCTCTCTGTGGTCATGCAAAAGTTTAAGTTTTCTTCGTTGGTGATTTGAAAAATCTTACTCCAGAAAGATCTAAATTCCGGTTCTTGTTCGGTTGGTTCTGTTAATTTGACTTGATTACTATTTATTATATAGTTTGACTCGTTGCTTGAGGTTCCCATTAAGTGCTTTATTTTCTGCCAGAACTGTTCGGTTTATGGTAGTTTCCTTCCGTTTCTGAAATCAGCTTCTGCCAGTTCCTGTTATATGCTTCTTTTGATATCTTTTTTTAGTTGTTCGTGTATTATGTTGTATATGTTTCTGCGTTCCGGTGTCCATCCTTGCTGTGTGATTAGTTAAATTAGGTTGCTAAATTGTGTCTGTATGATTCTTGATTGGTGTGAGTATTGAGGGTGTGGTAATGTTCGGTAAGTGGTCTTGGGGATGTTGTGTTCCATGGCCTGGCTGACGTGCTCATACCATATATCCAGTGATCGGTCTATTAGAGAAGTATGCCCGTTTTGTAATTGTATGGGTTGCCGGTTATTTAAGTCTTGTTTGAAGTTTTCCCAGTTAGCCCGGTTATAGTTGAATCTTAGCCTGGCCGGGATCTATATTGGGGCTGTGGAGAGTGTGGCTATGATAGGGAGATGATCACTAGTGGATATTGGGCCGGGTTCGAGTAGTATGTTTAGGTGGTGGTGTTGATTTGTTAACACGAGATCTGGGTATCCTGTGTGGCCTGCTCTGATGTACGTGGGGAATTCCGGTCCGAGGTGTACCACGTTGCCGTGGCTCACTAGTGTGTTCAGGACCTGGCCTACTGCGTTGTTGGTATGGTGTCCTAGTATGCGGTGTCTAGCGTTGAGATCACCCAGAAAGTATGCAGGTATGTTCCTCCTCATCAATCTGAGCATGTCTGCTATTGGAAAAATTGGTCGTCTTGGAGGGAGGTAGCAGGTGCCAATTATAATTGGACCCGTTGTGCTGTTAATTTCTATTGCCAGAAAGTTTCTTGGAATGTATCATGGATTTTATGTTTTATGCTTCTTTTAATTGCTATGGCAACTCCATCTTGTAAAGGATTTTGGCTGTTTTTTTTATATACTGTGTAATTAAGTATCTTGATTTTATTTGAATTATCCCTGCCGTGAGAATTTAGTATGATGACGTCTGGGTCTAGGGAACGATATATGTTGTATAATTCGTGAGCTCTTGTATGTGTCCAGGCCAGGACATTATGTTGAATTATTTTAAGTCTGTTGATTATGAATGGTGATGTCTCGAGCTTGTTTGCGGCATTTTGGATGAACGATGTTCTCCTGAAGACCTTGTAGGGGTATCGAGATATTAATGTTGTCTAGCACTCAGGATGGAAGGAAACTCTAATGTGGTTTTCTTGTATAATATATAAGTTATATGATAGACAGTCTGGTGCTGGAGATGCCGTGTGGTGGGGAGCTGCTCAGTAGAAGACGTTCGGTGAGTAGCGTGTTGAAGGAGGTAGATGTGCAGGAGCTTCGTTAGAGAAGATGTTGCCTGTTGCTGGCCTCCTGGTTGAAATAAATGTTAACAGCGTGGAGCTTGCTGGAGGAGGTGTTGCTTGTTCAGGAAGATGGGCAGAATGAATCTCAATGGAGAGACAGAGCTTATATACCCAGCAGCAGCCGCCAGTCCTCTATGAATCATGTTGGGAAAACCCAGAAAGTTGCCGGTGACTAGTTTCGTTGCTAAGCAACGGTAACATCTGGGGACAGCTCTCGCTTGGTTGCTAGGAGACGCCAGCGCGTCGGAATGCGGTAACAGGTGGTGGCTGTGGCTACGCAGTTGTAAGCAGTTGTAGGGGGGACGTCCACTACAACCTCCTCTCCGTATGCAGGCCGAGGCGAATTTTCCTGTATTTGGATTGCTCCACCTTTTCTATTCTATTATATTTGGTCAGGATTCTTCCTCTCTTTATTAGTGTTTCTATATGGTGATCTTCCATATTCGTATCTGTATATGTATATTTTACTCTTCCTTCCCTTATCTCCGCCAGTAGTCTCTCGGTTGAGAGTATTTGGGGGGCTGAGCAGGTGTAAAATCTGATACCGGTTTCCTCCCCGAGGTCCTGATTCTCAGTCATTTTTCTTGGTGACGGTGGTGGTGCCACAATTCCCGTTTTGGTCTTTTTAGGGGTGCTATATACGAACGCTTGTTCAGGTTGTGTAACAGTGTCATGTTGTGAAATGGGTTCCTGCTCCTCTTCATCTTCCTCCATTCCCTCTTCGCTACTTTCTGATTGGGGGGGTTTGTCGGTAGTGGCTTGTGATTGGGTGATGTGCGCCTGACTGGTGGTTTCCGCTGGTTTATAGATCAGGTCGAAGATTTCTGATGAGGGGACGTCGTTGGGGAATTCCATGTCTGGGAGGTTATTTGCCGCAAACATTTCCTTTACCCTTTTAGCAAAGCATCCTGGTTTGGCAATATTCAAGAGGTGGTCGTGTATTATTGCCGTCATGATTTTAACCGATAGTTGACTTCCCAGGTTGAGCACTATAGGTTGAGCTGGGGGTTGTGAGGCTACCTTTTCAAGGACTTTAGTTGTTTCCTTTGTTAATTTGGTTACAGCCGAGTAGGTCCTGTTTTGCTTTTCCTGTGCTCTTTCCTTTTCAATTTTCCTCCTTTCCTTTACAATCGCTTTCCTTGCTGGACAGCGTGCTGCCAGTGTTCTGTGGTCCCCTTGGCAGTTGAGGCACCTAGGAGTTACACTGCTTTTGCACTCCCGGAATGTATGTCCCTCCTCCCCGCATTCGGAGCAGTATTTTGTGTTTTTGTTCGGGCAGTCCGTGGCTATGTGGGTGTATTTGTAGCAGTTCCAGCAAGGCGTGATGGGAAAAAATTCTTCCTCTTCAACTTGATTGCTGCCTATATGGTAGTAGGAGAGACAATCCTTCCTGTATTGCTTTTTGTGCCATTCCTATGTCCTGAAACCTAATTTTCAGCATAGATGGTAGTTTAGGTAGTTTAACTACCTCCTCTACTTTGGCCCATTTATTTCTTAGTTCCAGGTCACGTTTCAATTGTTGTTCGCTCGATTCTTCTGTGATGGTCTTGTCCAGTCTTTTAAGTACTACGGTCTTCCTGGCTCTTAATTGTGGTGGGATTACTACTTCGAATCATTGCTTCTTCAATTCCTTTATGCTGTCATTCGATAGTAGGGAGTCAACGTCTTCTTCTGTCAGGCAGAGGGCGATGAATGAATCCTTGGTTGTTATAAGGCTCGTGATCTTAATTAGTAGTTTTGTACCGAGCAGTTCGGCTAGTGAGCTCTTCCACGGTTCGGATACATCCCCATCAAGGGAGCGTATCCTTACCCTATGTGCCCTCATTGTAGAGGGGGCAAAGTGGACAAGCCACCTTTTGAAATTCGATAGGTAGCCTACCTAGTCTGGGTGAGTTAACCTACCATAGGAATTACAACACCTCCCACCGCCTTTTGTCGGTTGAATGGTCGAAAGGTGGTTCCCGTGTATCTCTCCCAGAGCCCCGTCAGGGGAGCCTACTTCCCTAGTGTCTATCTAATCTGCTCACTTATAGGCGTGAGCCCTAGTGTACCTACTTCGGGGGGGGGGGATACAGGATATGCGACCCCCTTCCCGGGTGGACCCGCACGATCACGGTTTCCCAGGAAGGCTCGGCGGAGGGATGGTTCTGCTCCTTCTCCCTTTCGTGTTCACAAACTCCTGGGAGGGAGGTGAACATTTACAGGGAGGACCCAAAGATGAATACACCTCTAGGATGCAGGTCCCCAGGCCAGAGCGAAATAGAAGGAAGAATAAAGGAGGAATAGCCACTGGTGCAAGAAACACCAGTGGGGTCGCGGCAGGCGTCCGCTACAGGAAACCGTCGCAGAGCACCCAATCTGGGCCACCTCTGATCAGGAGTCACCCCTGATCAGTGGGGAGGCACAGAGAGGGCGTTGTCAGAGACGAGCTTCCCAAGTGTAGAAGTGTTAGTTGGTGAGGTGATATTTTGCGTGCCGGTCGTCAACGGTAAGAGACAGGCTAGCTGGCTTGGCTGTGAAGGATGAGAAGAGAGGTCCAATCACGACGAAGGCTGGCTGGCCATGCCCTCCCTGGCCAGGCATGGCCGTATTTATACAATTTACGAGGATCAGGATTTGGGGTGAGCGTAGCGAGAGGACCAATCACAGCGGCTTAAGCGTAAGGTGTGAAACGCTCTGATCCTGAACCAGAGGTTGAAGGTAGAGACTAGGTCGGCGATCGTACCCCTGTGTCCTCTGCATAGACCTAGTCTCTCGGCGTAGCTGGCTGTACGCTGATTGGCTGGTAGGCGCGCGGCCGGAGCTCAGTTGGGAGTTGTAGGGGAGAAGAGCCACTACAATACAATTGTGTGTGCGTGTTTGACTGTCATGAGTTTACGTGAATCATGAAGAAATTTTGCAAGAAAATATACCAAAACAGCGCCACGGTAACTCTGCTATTTGAGTTTAAAATCACGTTAAGAACTGCGCAAATAAATAAATTATTGAAGAAAAACTGCAAAAATACCACATGTAACATAAATACAACTTCTGGAATGTTGATCAATGTCCCCCTGGCGGTGGCCTGGCGAACTAGGTACCACCGTCTAGCTCCAGCGAGACATCCTGGGGAATGGTGTAATGCAATAACATCTGAGGAACAATTCTCAAAGATTTGGAACGTTGTCGCAACTGAGCCTATGCCCGAGATATGGGTTAGATCTAAGGACAATGGGAGTTAGCACCCACCAAAGCATGGGTAGTGTACAAGAATTAAATTAAATTATTACACATAGGTAGGTGGTGACATATAGCGGTTAGTGACTCTCCCTAGGGTAGGAGGTCCCTGTCAGTGGGACAGTCAAGGCAATAGTGTTGAAGGGTGTTAGCACTGGGACAGTTGTAGAGTTTACAGGAAGAGAAGTGCCTCAGATACTTGCCAGATAGGCCTGTATCCTAACCTAAAGCAAGCAGAGACAACATTGTGTCTGTGGATCATAAGCCCATGTCGACGATACTTGTGTGGATAAGGAAGAAAGTGATCAGTGTTGGATGGTCATGGTGGGCTATATTTAGGCCGAAAAGATCCTGATTGGACAGCCATAATTTCTAGAATCAGTTATTGATCAATCTCAACTGAAAGATTTGCAAATAAACTGGTGTAATGCTGTGTCTTTTTTTTTATCTTTAGTTAACTAATTTCTTATGATTTATTGTGGATTTATTTTAATATTTGAGACAATTAATAATTTTGTTACTTTTTATGTTCAGTACTTAAGTATGTACATTGAACTCTGGATACTTTTGCTTCTACTTGAATAATATTTTGCCAATGAAAAGCAATATCTCCATTTGCCAGAATCCCTCAAACCCGGAACTCTCCGATAGCCGAAATTGAAACTTTCTTGGAAAATCGTTTCCAAATCCGGAATTTTCTGGAAAATTCCAGTTTTGGGAATGATTTTCCGAGGGGCACAGTTTTCGTAAAAATCCAAGAAAATTTTCCCGATACCTGGAAAATTCCAGGGATGGGTTTTTTTTCCCGGGTCTGAGAGATCAAAATCTGGTGCATTTTCCGGAAATGCTGAGAAAATTTTTCCAGTACCCGGAAAATTCCAGGGATGGGGGACATTTTTCCGGGTTCAAGAGATAATGTAACAGGCAATTTTTGGAACTTCAGAGAACATTTTTCCGTTATCCGGAAAATTCTGGGGATGAGGGATTTTTTTCCGGATTTTGAGAGAGTAGTCTCGTTACCCGGAAATCTCTCATTCCCGAAAGTGCTTTGCACCAATTGTCAGTTGATTGAAAATGTCCAAAGAAGGGCCACCAAACTGGTGTCTGCACTATGGCACATCAGTTACCCAGAAAGATTAGAATGCTTGCAACTGCCTAGCTTACTGTATACTATAGACAGCCAAGGTGTGACCTAATTGAAGTTCATGAATATCTCGGAGGGCACTACTCAGATGAGTGTCCATATCTGGAGCTGGCGGACACTCGCCCTACTAGAGTTCACAACTCAAGGTTGAAGAGTCCACAAGTCCAGAAAACTGTGAGGGCAAAATTTTCATGGTGAGAATTGTAAACTCTTGAAACAATCTGCCAGAAAGTGTTGTGACTGCACAGAGTGTGAGTTCTTTCAAGACCAGACTTGACCAACACTGGAGCAGGTTCAGCTACATTACGGAGCCAGTGTATGCCCAGTACTTGCCAACAGTGCATAACAGAGACGTGACCATCTGCCCCAGCAACTAACAAGCTGATCAGTGGCAAAGTGGATAAAAGTAAAGGTATTTATCATTAGTTAGGTAGGTTTTGTTCTTGTTTGTGAACCGATTTTTTGTTGGGGGGAAAAATATTGGGGTATTTTTGTCAATGGGTAACTGAACCCTATTTTTCCCATGCACTATATCTATCTATTCGTAATACACACCTTACGAATGTTATTTTTTTAACCTAACCCATTCATATCTCAAGTGATACTTGTAATGAAGAATAACTTATTTTGCTGAAGAATGAAATAAAGAACATGAACTGTTCATATGCAGATATTAATAGAGGGAAAAAATAGCTTTTTATAGTTCAGGTAAAGTATATCTAACCAACAATCAGTTCAGCTACAACAGTGTCCATCACTCCCCAGCTTTCTGAGAGAAAGTAGTCCCCTTCACTAGTGCATTTACAGGGGCTCATCAGGTTTTGTGCAGTGTGGCAGACCTGTGTTTGTTTACATTCAACAGAAGGAAACTTACAATAGTAAACATATAGGCATCTCCTGGGTTATGGAAGAGTTGTGTTCTTGACAATTTTTCCGTAACCTGGGCCCAATTTTCCCATTGACTCCCATTATATAATTTGAGATCCATTTCTATGGAAACATAATACAAGCACATATATGAATGAAAATAAACAGTTTTAAATACATACAATGATTATTCATTCATGCTGAAACATGATAATAAATGCACACAACACTCGAATTTAACTCACCAGAAATGATTTTGAGTGCTGCTTCAGGTGAGGTGGTACAATTGGAGTTACTGGGAGGGAGACAGAGGGTCACTGCTGATTCCTGCTTTACCGTGTAAATTATCATCTTCTGCTTCCGTTGCTGCTCTTGGGGCAAAAAGCTTGTCTGAAGTTGTTTGGCATTGAAGGTGCATTTTTTCACTGTACAGTTCCCTGTAGTCGTTAAGGCGGTTCTGAATGCCTCTTGAAAATTTGAGGCTATGTTCTCGATTAGGATCGTTAGTAACAAAGATTTGCAAACCTTTCTCTCTAAGAGCAATCCCTTGAGCCATTTGCTTTGTCAACTCAAGGGCAGTGGTTGGAATTTCCATATCCTCTTCTCCTGCAGCTCACTATGGGACTTCAGTAACTCAACCACATCATACTGAATGACCTCTTCAAATCCTGCACCATTTGCCAGTGTTACAGTAGATTGGTGAACTTCATTTTAAGTTTCAACTTGGAGAAACATTGAAAGTCATGGATACACTCTGACCATATGTTTTTCCACACACCATTATATTAGTTATTGTTTTCAGCTCATCCCATGACTCGACTATGTTCTCCACAGTGTTCATGATGTTGAATTTCTCCCAGAAGTTCCTGACTAATTGTTTATCCTCCCCATCAACTGCTGCTATGGGTTATTTAAATGTTCTTATAATTAGCCTTAAAGTTGGCAATCACACCTTGATCCATTGGCTGAAGCAAGGCAGCTGTGTTCTTGGGCATATATTTCACTTGAACATTATTAGAAAGATAATTCAGGTTAATTGGGTGGCTGGGTTCATTATCTAATAGGAGCAAAGCCCTGTTGGATATACTTCTCTGTGTTACTGTACCTTTCTAATGCAGGGCAAAAAAAATTCTTGAACCAATCTTGGAAGACTCATAGTCATCCAAGCCAAATCACTGGTAGTTTAAGCTTGGTGCATACCTTGAAGCCCCTTGGATTTTCAGAGTGGTACACAAGTAAGGGCTTTAATTTCATATCGCCAGCAAAAGCATTAGACAATTTTTTAAGCCTTAAATCCTGGTGCTGACGTTTCTTTATTAGAATTAAATGACCTAGCAGGCATGTGCTTCCAAAAAAGGCAAGTTTCATCTCCAGTGTACACATGTTCTGGTGTGTAGCCCTCTGCAGTAATAATTGCCTTCATTCAGTTCTGCTGTATTTACATGCAGCTTCTGTATCAACAATGGCTGCTTCACCAACCATCTTAATGTTATGCAAATTAAGGCATTTCTTAAACCTTTCAAACCAACCTTTACCAGCTTGAAAGGGTTTTACATCAGAACTTGCACCTTGTTCTTTCTGTAAATCACCATACAAACTTTTGGCTTTCTCCTGAATGATCACAGTGTTTGTTGCATATTTTGCTTGGTTTGATCTTCAATCCATAAACTTAGGAGAAAGTAGAATGTATGAGCAGTTAAACGAGTAGCAGCTTTGGCACTTCACTTAATTTTGTCTCTTTATCACATATTGTGCCCACTGTAGAGGTAGCAAGGCCTAATGTTTTTCCAATGTTACTAAGTTTTTCTTCCTCCTCAAACCGCCTTAAAACATCAAGTTTATTGTCCAGCATAATTCCTTTGCATGATCTTTTAACACCACTTGAACTTTGTGGCTTCTTTCTACTCATCTTGAATAAGAATACACAATAATGCAGTTCTGAACACGAGCTGGGAAATTAATTCGAACTGACCAACACCATTGTTGTGGGTCCTCAACCGTCTTGCAGAAGCCACATGAAATAAATGTAAAAATTTCGGAGAATTTTTTTGTTATAAATTGCGATTTTTCTTTTTTCCTTTTTAATATAGCAAAATTCTGCAAGGGTGATTTTTTGGGAAAAAAAATCAAAATTCTGTAAACGCGAATTTCCATAACCTAAGTTTCCGTAATGCAGGGATTGCCTGTACTATGGCATCAACGTAAAACAATATTGAAACAAATACTGTATCTTGATGTAATGGTTTGAGGAATGTTTTTATGACAGCCTCTGTAAACACACTAGTGAAGGGGACTGTACATGCGACTTCTGCATCAGTGCCCTTCCCACTGTGAGGGGAGGACTTGGTACAAATACAGAGGTAAACAACTAACAATGGTCAAAATCATCCCTTGTGATATTTTGTTAATGCAGGTGTTAGATTTCATTTTACTTAAAATCTCTCAATTGGTAATGTTCAACATATTAATTAAGGATATGGGTTCAAACAGTTGTAAGTTTGGCAATTCTTGTCTTAGATTTAACATATTCAAGTTTGTACAGTACAGTATTACCCCGCTTAACGAGGTTTCACTTAACGCGATTTCGCCAGAACCGAACTTTCACTTAACGCGGTTCATCTACCCATATACGCGGGAAGCGGAGCGGGCACGATGCGCACAAGGTCGCCCAGTCATCAAAACATTACCGAGTTCTTCACTCGCCACCCACCACAGCCGGCCCAAGTCAGTGATAGTGATAATTATAATGAGGATATGGACTTATATGGACTTTGAGGGGTTTGACAAAGAGGCCCTGCAAGCCTCTGTGGTGGATAGTGATACAATTGATACAAGTGATACAGGTGAGGGCCAATAATCTGCCCTGTGCCTCGGAACCAACCCCCCATCCCCATGTGCCCAGCCATCTTTTCTACTAATGTAAGTGTTAAAAAACCTAATATTATTGATATTTCTCTTAATTATTAATTGTGTGTGCATACCACCATAAAGTTAAGATAACATTTTTACTACAACATAGTTGTGTGTCGTCAAAAAGTGGAGTTTGGGGGTCGGGCCAGTCTCTATTGGAATTAATCCCACATGTTCTGTTGTTCACTTAACGCGGTTTTCACTTAACACGGTACCCTGTGGGTTCAATTGACCGCGTTAAGCGGGTTACTACTGTACTTCAGTTTGAAATAAGATAATCTTTTTTTGGCCTATTTAAGATGCATTTTTCTGCACTGAAAATGTGATTCCCAGTTCCCCACTCTGGAAAAGAGGGTTGGTGATAGAAAGGACATCCAGCTGTAAAACTTGCTTGAGGGCAACAATGACCCCATGCTATTAGCTTCCACATGTATGAGAAATATAGCCGTAAGAAGGTGAAGATGAATATTCCCATTTTCTTTAATTATTTTTTTTTAAATTCCAATATTTAAAAATGATCCTATTTTCTTTTATAAAAGATAAATTTCTTTGACAAAATTTCCCATTTTCTATAACAATCCCTTTGTCCATGATAAAAAATTTCATTTTCTTTGATTAAATTTCCCATCTTTGATAAAACTACATCTTTGACAAAAATTAAAATTTTCTTTTATGGAATTTCTCATTTTTTTTATATAAATTCCCATTTTCTTTAATAAAATTTAATATTTTCTATGATAAAAAATCCCATCTTTCTTGATAAAATTTCCCACTTTCTTCAATAAAATATCCAGTATATATTCCCATTAGAATTGGGAAACAGAAGAACTGTGTCTTGGTATCACATATATTTGGTAAATTTATTAGCAATGTACTGTACTTCCCTTTTACAAGGACCAATCACATCACTACCATGTAGAAGACATTTATGGAAGTAGAGAAGCCCAGTTTAAGCTGATAACAAAATGAGCAAAACTTATCAGAATTGTATATACAGTTTGTCAAATATTCTGGTTATTTACAAATATATGAAGAACTAAGGTAAGTCTTTGGGGGGGAGGGGAGGATGATAAATTGAGTAGGAATTACAGTCACAGTAAAAGATATTTGATAAAAAAAAATATATATATACGTATATCTACTGAATAATGTATTATTGTTGTTGAATTTTTTAAGTTAAACTTCGAAGAATTCTGACATTCTCCTGAGCGAATTGAGGACCAACTCTTCATAGGTGATGTGCAGTAAAAATTAGGATTGAGGTAACAAATAACAATCAAAATATGCATACATCGAGTGCCATGAGTTCTTGTGTGATGACAGTAACTTCAATCCTTTGGAAAACTATTGGCAAAGGTTTTTTTTTAATTTGTATTAGTTATTATTTAAAAAATTTCTTATAAACTATGTTCATAGTTTTAATGTTTCTTATATAATCTCTAGATTATGTAAGAAATGAATATAACATGGATCAAATTCTGATATATAAAACAAAAGTTATTAAATACAGTACGTAAAAGAATATTAAACAAGGATTAAAAGTACTAATGCATCACATTTCATACATATAGCCAGAGAGATAGGAAGCTGGATTCAAGGCCCAGGAACTTCCAAACAGCAGTGGAATGATATGACACATTGCCTGATTCGAGCTAATACTGCAGTAGTTCAATTATACTTCTTGAGGGCTCCTGTAATGGAGGTCTATTACAGTATATATTAAAATACATGTGAAAACACCAAAGGATTCAAATTTAGTAATGTAAAGTATAACCCAAATTTCACTAAAATACATACAGTGGATGGAGCAAAATAGCAAGAAATAAGATTTTTTTTTTTTTTTCAAGTGGCAGTCTGAAAGTCTCTGGGTAGCCTTAAGGTATACCTAACTTCTCCATCTCTCCATTTTTTTTATGGATTCTGAAACTAAATGAACAGACTTTGGGATAATAATCATTAGGCATAGTTCCACACTTGAAAGATAACAACCCTCAATATTTTAAAAGGTTATGATTATGGACAAAATATGAAATTAAACAGAATGAATTCTATGAACGTCAAATGAAATACATTTAAACTGCATAATATAAATTACAGCATTAAATGCATCAGTAGGCACCATTACTAAGGCTACAATTGGCAGATATCATTAATAGCAAGACTTTTTTCTGGTTATTGCATCAGGAATCTATTATCTTGCACAGTTTGACTAATTTGTGGAGGTCAACAGTGCTGAAACTCCATGAACGTTACTCAGAATTCTTCACACATATCTGGACTGAAAGCAGGCCTAGAAACTTGTCACCTAAAAATGTTATCCAAAAATCCCCATATTTTTTTGTTTATACAAAACAAAAATCCTCTTTTGGACAAATTAATATTTACACAGTATTAATAAGTTTTACATTCTACAAATTGATTTGTTAACAAGAAATAAAAAAAAAAATTGTGTCAAATGTAAATATTTTTTTCCCTATATTACTTTTTGCTATACACTTTTTCACCATTAAAGTGGAATTTCAACTAGATACTAGAATGCCTTTTATTGCAATTAATAATTGAACAGTGCAAAATTACTAAATTTTCATGGTTATACACAGAAATTACTATAAGATAATCAAAAGGTTTTCAATTGGCATCACAAGAGTTAGTATAGTCATTAATATTTATCATTAGTTTCAATTTCTTAAATATGCAAATTTCCACTGCTGTATACACCATAATTACTTTAATTAATAATTTGTGTTAAACATTTCCATGATTGTCTATTATTTTGAGCATAGCTATGGAGACCTTAAAGCAAACTCGGAAAAATCTTGAGCAAGACCCCCAACAAACTTGGCCAAGGCCTGCAATAGTCTTAGTCAAGATCTGCAACAAGTCAATATCATTCTTTAAAAGCTTAAAATATGATCTGTGCAATTTTAAACAATATTTGCAACATTCATAACAGTCTTTTACTATAAAATTAAACTTTTTAATCTCGTTTCCCTTTTAACATACAACTGGAATCGATTTTCAACATATTAATATAAGTTATTTATAAGCAGATCTTGTAATAGTATGATACTATACTTTACTTATTATTTGTCTATTAAACCTTTAAAGTCACTCTCCTTATGGTAAACTTCAACTACCTATACTATACAAATATAATACTTAATAAAAAAAGCACTGCCTCTATATATATTAAGCATTATAATACTATATTTCACCAAAATATTGTAAAAAGCAAGCAAGAAATATGACAGGCAAAATAAATTGTACCTGTTTAAAGGATTTTTTTTTCTTCAGAATCTACTATGTTAACCATATGCTATATTTTTACATATGCAAACACTTATTAAGCACACATTAGGACCTATGAGTCTCATAAAGTCTAATCTTAAATAATACATGTAGTTCAATAAAGCTAGTGTACATAGAACATATACAAATTAACTGTGAAAATTCTAATAACTGCAGCGACATGGTAAAATGTTTAGGTCATGTTTCTAACTCCTACCTGGAGATACTATTAAAGCCTCTAAGTCACAAGTTTACAAGTGCCTCTGTTTTGTGCATAAAATTTCTCCAAGCAAAACAAATAGCAAAGAATTATTTTCTTATTAAAGAAGATTAATAGCTATGCTGGTGAATGCTTCCACTAAACAATCACCCAAACATAAATATGATTTAGTGTACTGTACTTACATCCTAAATCAGAATTCTTATAATTTAGAACCAACCAATGACTTTGTTAATACAGTGGCATCTCAAATATTAATATTGCTCATGAAGTTTACGATCATGTAAGAAAACATTAAGATCAAATTGCAATAAAAGAAGAGATATTCAATGCTCTTTACATAAAAATCTAATTCCATTAGTTATTCACATTATGGAAAGAGTACTCTTTGCAAAACCAAAATATCCTTCTTTTTTCTATTAAATGGAAGAGCACATAGATTTGCAGCCAAATCTGCAAAAGCTACACAAAAGTTTGCAAAACATACAATATCATGAATGATAAATTCCACAACTGGTAAAATAAATATACACAGTTTAGTGTTGATAGTTAATTTGTAAAGCCTAGTAAACAAATGACTGGTCTGTGAATATTAAATATTTTTCCCTAACTAAATGTGGTAGCAATGCCACTTGTAATGATTCTCTGAAGCGGTGGAATTTTCAAGCTGGCATTTATGGAAGAAATTTGACAAACTTACATTTAACTTATAGCATGGGCACACCTTAAAGCTTCACACTCTAGATCTTATCATTTACTACTATTTGAATACTTGGCAATTACCTCTATTCACAATCTTACACTTCTACATACTATAATGGGATTTATACTTTATACCACTGACTCTGGTATTTTTATATAAATAAGATATTAATAAAGCAGGCATCATTAGAATACTGAGCAGAAATTTTCACAATAAAATTAACTCAATTACAGAGATAAACAATAAACCAAACACAAAAGCTTTACGGCATAAAAATTAGCATTTCGAGGTAATAAGATATTGATCACCTCAGACCCATCCACCAGTCAACTTGTGGAATAGTTCATCATTGAGATTTTGATTTGCATCTTTTGTACGCATGGAGAGGAAAATGTATCCACCGATGAATTCATGCACCACCTGAAAATTTTAAATGTCATAAGATCAAAACAACATGAAAGACAGAATGGACCACCAAACATAAGGAATGCATAATATTTACATGTACAATACTGTACAGTAAACACTTACCTACAAATAGATCAACATAATAATTACACAATACAGTTAACATAATAACAGACTTCTCAATACCAGATACTGTGTACCTAATAACAGATGTCTTTTTATCTGGTACAATTAGCGGACTCGGCCAGTAAGATTGGGAACATTGTCCGCTGTTGAACTAATAGCCAGATGGTGATGTTGAAGTTTGCTCGACTCGGTGCGATCGCTAACAATGCTTCCAGGATCATGCCAAACAACACACTGAGCTTACATGGGTGTGAAACACTCACTCATGCTTCCTCTATGCTCATTTTATTGTAAACTACCACAAGTGTTTTCAATAGTGAGATAAATACACAGTAAAACCTCAATAAATTGGACTTCAATATATCGGAATTCGCTATTTTCAGACTCTTGAGGTGTTCTGGTCACCAGAACCGGTATACAAAACTTTTATGCTAATGACATAATAGTTCAGTTAGCTAGCAGTAATATTTAAAATCTTAACAAGCAAACTTTTACCACACAAATAGTTGTTTGCTAAGTACTGTACCGCTAAACAGCACTGAGGAAAGCAGTTCATCATATAAAATGGTCTTATGGCTGAATAATCTCAATAAAATTATAAAGGTTAATTTCAGTATTTACATTTACTGGTATTAAAATTTTGATCATTAAAAAAAATATAAATCTAATCTATGCAGTTTGAAGGAAGATATATTAACCAAGGATAGTAATCGGTGGCTTGACCTTGCCGTGCTGTTTGTAAACAAACGTATTATTGAGGAGAGGACAAGATGAGCATCACGAAAATGGAAGCCTTAACCCCATGAAAGAAAAGGAAGCCCATCTGGATAGCAGATCAGACTTTATTATTGGTGGATGCCATTGAAGAGAAAAAGTTAAGGTTATTTTTCGTTATCCACCCTTCACTTTTTTTCACATGAAAAATATTTTTTTTTGCAAGTTTTCTTGCTGTTTTAGATGATTCTGACATTTATCTTTGGAGCAAATCACTTTTTTTTTAGTTAGGTTACCTGACTTAACAAACCATATCCTATCCTAACCTGACCAGACCTAACCTAACCCAACTAAAAAAAAAGTTATTTGCCCCAAAGATAAATGTCAGAATCATCTAAAACAGCACGAAAACTTGCAAAAAAATATATTCTTCACAAGGTGATGGATGGGTAACGAAACGAGAGCGATGCTGCATGTCACCATAACATCAAATTGGGACTTAGAAAAATTCGTGATTTTTACAACTAATAAATTGCGAATATCGCGTATATTTTTTAAATGTGCCGCTAAATTCAAGTATATTCTTTTGTTTCTCAATGAGATCTACCAAATGATAAGAAAAATATCGTAAAAGGGTGATGGGTGGATAATGAAAAATAACCAGTTAATATTGAATGGCCGCTTCAAGCCTTTCCTGAATAATAAAGACTAAAAGAGGGCATGGCTGGAAATTGCCATGAGAGTCAATGCTGCTTTCTTTGAATTTCTCTCTGGGTGAGTGGGAACTTCACAAACTGACAAAAAATGTTTGGTTCAGGTAGTGCATTCAGTGTCTGAGTTATAGTATGGCTGATAGTGGGCCGAGTGGTTCCAAAATCATCACTGCTACACAGTAGTTGCATTCTTCCAGTCACAAAATAATGCAAGGTTATGGCCACTTTCATCTCTGGGGTTAGAGCTCTATTCCTCCCAGTTCTACTTTGTAGTGTTTCTCTCACTAAATCAGTCACTGCCATGATACCTGCACAGTCCAGTCGGTATCGCATGATGAGTTCACTTACAAATTACAATTTACCTGAAAAACAATTAATTCACCTTAGCAAAAAAAGAAATCCTTATGAATATGAAAAATAAAAAGGAATCCTTTGTTGCATCAATTAAAGAAAAAACCACTTCTCATTAACATCTTTCTCTCCTGATAAATGCGTTGCCGCCGCTGATGTTGTTCTTGGTTAGCCATGTTATCAACCAAGGTGGTTACCAACTAACAGACAACTATTATGGGACTTAGCAGTGCTCCAGGAGTCTTTTAACTTAACACTACTATTAAGGCCCTTAAAAGTTTTGTATATGTACTATTAGTGCTTAGCAGGAAAATGTCAACCTTAACAACTGTTTGCGAGCACTTAAAAGTTTTCTGTATACCGGCCCAGAAATACAAAAAAAAAAAAAATGAAATAAATAAATAAGAAATAAAAAATATATAAGAAATACAAAATACATAAATTAATTTAGAAATTGGGAAGATTAATAAATTAATCTTATTAAAAGAACCACACTTACTGAATACTGTACAGTGGTCTAACAGATTTGCAATAGGCCTTCTGAGAACTAAGACACTTGAGTACCGGTATATATGCAGGCTAGGACTGATCCAGTGTTGCCACATTCATCATGTTTGTTTATTTATTTATTTATTGATTGATTGATTCAGTTTTATATTCTCATATGATTGGCCTCTTATGGTTTACGGTTCATCATGATTAACATATCTTTATTAATAAAGAAAAAATACAATATAGCATGCCCTGTTTTCACAGAGATGATTGTTATTTACTGTAAAGTGGAAAATGTTAGTAACCACATAATACAATATGTCTAATGAATAAATTAGAAAACTATGTATTGTACAGTACTCTAAAGATAAAAATAAGAACAAATAAGTGTAGGAGTATATTGTATGTGAAGACGAGTGTTTATCTGGGAGCAGCAGGCAGAGAGGAGGGGGTGTAGCACGGGTGGGTGGCTCCCTCCCCCGAGATCCCTTTAACACGTCTTTATGCAATTTCACCATATAATTCTCATATAATTCAGGTTCCTTTGGTACTAGGTTTATAAAATAGTCCTAAAAGAATCAACTTTCCTGGGAAAAAACAAAACAAAAACTATCCCACATTCAACACCAGCAAGACATGTGCAAAAAGCAACAGAAAAGGCAAAAATATCTGAGGCATCTTGAGAACATACCTTGCAATCAGCGGTCAAGCATGAAAACACCACATTGTCCTCCTCAAACTGGATCATCATGTGCCGCGTTTCCCAGTTCACATTCCAAGCCTGAAATAGTTGTAGGGAACATGTAAAATTCCAGTATTATCGTTTTATTATAGGTAGACACTCAAAACTGAATCTCAGAAAGCTGGAGGTTCTCAAAGGCCAATGTAGATGTACTATTGCTGGGCTCCACCAAAAAATAATAAAATAAAAAAAATTATCATCATTAGGACATTCCATGCATTGAATTTTTGATCTGGGTAAATTCACGTCAGATTTTGAGTGAAAATATCAGCTTTATTGTTTGGAGTGGGACTTATAATTAAGAAGCAACAGTTGTCATAAGCCACAAGAGTCACACAGAAAGAATAGGGAGAAAAAACAGAGAGAAAAAAAGAGAGAAATTCAGTGACATCCATTAGTGGTGACATTGATTACCCTTCCATAGAAAGATCTGATACTATAGTAAAGGAATGCCAAGACCAGTCCACAGTGGTACACAAAGTAACAGATAAGTGAAAAGTAATGGCATATCCTACAAAATGATAAAGAGCTCAATGTGTCAGGTCAGTTTTTTGCCACCAGGACATTAGTTCATGAATTTTATGTGGATTACTTTGCACTGAGCAATTGTTAACAACTGAAGGAGTTGGTATTCACTAACTAAACTCATGCTCTCGACATCAGAATACAGAGGATCAGAGAAGCAACTGATCCTCCACATCCCCAAGGCAATACAAATAAAATGTCTCGGGGCACTTATGGTTCCTGCAGTGAGAGTTCAGGCAACAAAGCTGGGATCCTTACATGTCAATGTTGTAAAACAGATCACCACTAGGAATGCTTAAGGCTGTTTGAACATCTATTTAAAGCACTGAAATGCATCTCAGAACAGACCATGAGCAAAAATGTATGGAACAAGTAAGGGCGCTAATAACAGCTGTAGAGGATCATAAAAAGAAGATAGAGAAGTTAGATAAAGAACAAGATAAACTCAAGCAACAAATAACAGAATTCTAACAATCAGTGCAGGAAGAATTAAAGAACTGACAAGAAATAATGGGCAAGTTAACTCTCACAGTGACACAGACTTATAAATTGGCACAAAATCTTCAAGACAAGTTGAAAGAGCAATTATCAATAAGAAAATGCAAATAAAAACTCATTATAATGAATCTGGAGAGGAAGGAAGTAGGGAAAGACAGTCAAACGAACAGTTAGATAGATGCTGAGAAATGTAGTCAACTTTATAGACGAGTTGCACATCATAAATGTGGAAAAACTTGACAAATGTACAATGCAGTTGGTGAGAATCACCATCCTTACACAGGAGCACAGGAGGGATATCTTGAAGAAGGCATGAAACCTCAAGCAATTAGCAGAGTACAGCAATATCAAGATCACCCCTGACTTAACAATTCCCCCCCCCCCCCAAAAAAAAAAACAACAATAATATATACACTACAGTATATGAGTTAAGCAGGAATGCTCAACTAAAGAACAGTAGAGGCCAAGTAGTTGGGGGTACAACATTATGGGGAGGTGGTAGTAATGTTTCAGTCCTCCCATCAGTATCAGAAAGAGGTTATCTACCTGTAACTAATAACCCAGAGAGAACAAAACCCTACGGGAAACATGAGTGATTCTACTAACCCCATGGCCTTTAAAGAGGACAATATTAGAAACCAGGCCAATCAAGTGTTAGTACAAGAATGCCAGAAGTCTGGTTAATAAAAATAAAGTACTGCACATGCAGACACAAAACAACAATGAATCATTGGGATCAGCATGTCCTGGGGCCAAGAAGAGGTGTTGCAGTTGGAATTTTATTTACCACTCAAAAAGGAGAGGGCTGCAAGAGGTGGTGGTTTACTACTATATGTCAAGGAACACCTGATAATATAAAACAAAAGGAGGAGGAAGTAGCAGATCTTCATAAAGTCATCCTGACAGCATCTAGAGCACACTCTCATCATGGGAGATTTTAATTTAATCACAAGACAATATACAGGGTGAATCTTACCACACAAGCTGAGAGAGAAGAATTCCTTGACCTCAATGAAAACACAATCCCCTAACAGAACCCACAAAGAGAGACAAAACTCTGGATTTAGTCTTGATGACTGAGGAGACAATGGTGGACAATGTCCATGTCAAGGAAAAACTAACTATGGCCAGTGACTATTGCATACTAGAAAGGATTAAAATCTTTGTAAGTTGGAAGAGTGTAGTTGAGGAAGAATATTAAGACTTCAACCATGGAGATTACCAGCTCATGAGAGACAAACTACAGAGAACTAACTGGGAGGGGGGGGGAATAGTGGTTAAGAGAAATCAGGCATAGATGAATCATTACAAGAAATTGTGGAAATCCTTGAGACAACAGGAGAGGATTGTATACCCTAGAAATCAAGGAAGAGAGAGAATAAGACCAGTTGGATGTATTACAATAAATATTAGAGCACAAAACATTATGTGGACTATATAGTATACAAAAGAGCCCTAAATGTGGCCAATCAGGAAATTAGATCAGCTAAGTGGCACTTTGAAATGAAATTAGTCCAAAACATTAATAAAGATCCCAAGTCCTCTTATGCATATACCAGGAGCAGAACAACTACCAATGATACAGTTGGCCCTCTAAAGGATGAGGGAACAACCTGGCTCTGGAAGATGATAAACAAACAACTTATACTGTACATTAAATGATTATTTTGCATTGGTGTTTACACAAGAGAATACATACCTCAGGAGTGGAAAATGAATTGAGAGATGATAATTTTAGACAATATCATTAAAATAAAAAATAGTGAGCTTGAAAAAATCTTAAGTCCCTGAAGTGGACGGAGCACAGACCAAAGTGATAAAAGAGAGTGCAAACTGCCTGACAAACTTACTCACTTTCCTTGACACTGTAACAGACGACATAGACCGAGGTCTAGTAGATGTGTTGTACATGGATTTTTCTAAGGCATTTGATAAAGTCTCATTTGTGTAACTAGACCTTAAGCTCCAGACACATGGTATCACAGGCAAAATATTGAAGAAGATAAATCACTGGCTCGAAGGCACACAAAAAAAGAGTGGTCGTAAACAGAATTGTACATTCAGAATGGAAAAAGATTCTCAATGGAGTATCACAAGGATCTATCTTTCAACTCACCCTGTTTGTGATCTACATTAACGACCTAGATGAAACTATATCCAGTCATACTATCAAGTTTGCAGATGACACAAACATATTTGGAAAGGAAGAAAGTTAAGATGTCACAACAATGCAAAAACATCTGCATGAGCTGTTCAAATTATTTAAAGACTGGCAGACACTTTTTAACAAAAAAATGTAAGACTCATAAATACTCTGTTAATAACACTTTCCTGGGTACTATTGATATGGAAAAAGATCTATGCATTGTGATAGATAAGTCACTGAAGGCAGTGCAACAAGTAGGAGCAGGAGTGAAAAAATGCCAACCAAAATTTAGGAATTATAAGCTGTACCTTCAGATACAAAAATAAGAAAATGTACCCTCAACTTTGTCTCTCTTATGCCCTAATCTGAATTACTGTTTATAGACAAAGAAACTTTACCTCCAGAAAGACTTACTGTCCCAAGAAAAGGTGCAACAAAGAGCGACTATGATGATTCCTGAACTTTATGTCAATTACCCAAGTACAGTATATTGAGTGCCTAAGGACAAACTAGTCTTCAGACAAGACATTAATATGGAAGACCTTATGAGCATCAAAAATCTTTAAAGGGATGTAAAACATGAACCCAGGTAAATTTTTCATGCACGGCAAATACAGTATAAAAAATACTTCTTCACACAGAGGGTGGTTAGACCTATGGAACAGTCTACTACTTCAAGTTGTGAAATCAAGAACAGTACTGGGCTTCAAAATAGCCTTCTTCCTTTGGCATGGCCACCTCTGGTAAGGTAAGGTATATGTTCTTTCTTGGTTTAGTCAAGTTTTGTTTCTACACACACATAAACTCAGTTGAATATTTTACTTCTTAATAAATAAAAATAAAGAAAAAGTTGTTGCATGCACATTTTAGATAAAAAACAAACATTTAATACAGTCTATATAGAAGTTCACGATTCTGTAAATGTGAGTTAAATAGATTTGTGGGCATCCATTATCTTTTTTATTGAAATTATACATACAATGTTGTTTACTTTATTTTGTTATCTAAGAAGTAAAAACATTCAACTGAGTTTGTGTGAGTGTGTGGAAGCAAATCTTGACATAGTGTCCTGGTAGGTCTGGGATTATATGGATGACTCAGGAACCAGAAGATCCTTAAAACCACTTTGGTTATCGGTCCCAAGGGTCCCAGATTTGAGGGTCTTTACCTGTACTTGCATCAAAAAAGATAATTTATGACTATGAAGAGTTACAAGACTTGTAGATTGAAACAACAGTATAATAGGGATATTTCATCCTATCTCTTTTGTGAGTGATAAAATTTCATAAATTATTGGAAAATTTACCTTCATAGTATTGTAGCGCCAAGTCTTGATGTGATCACCAGTGTTGGGGTCCATACGCATAATTCTGTTGAATGCAACACCCAACAACTCTTCACGCTGTAAAACATAAATCCCTACTATATACTATCTTTACAGAAGTACATTCAGCTACAAACTATGAAGATCAATAAGCTATAACCCGTATCTTTCACATATGCTAACTTTCAACTAAAAAAATGGTTAGAACATGTTAAGTCAGAATGCAATACAGTAAGTCAATACAAACATTCAAATAAAGCTGTTTTTACTTATATTGATTGATAATAACTCCTTGGCTCCTCTCCTGCACTAGTTCTTTTAGCCCATAAAGGTCTGATGTCATCCCAGAGTGCCCAATGTAGTAGGGGTCTAATGTTGTCAATCTAGCGCTTCATTTTTTTTTCCCGCATTGAGTAGCATGACTATTATTGTGGCAATAGCTCATCTCCGCTCACCCACACTTCTCCTGGACCGCATTTTAGCCTACTACGTATTCAGTTTCTGAAGGGAGACTTCCCATGCTATTGTACTACAGTATTCCAGATGATACTAAATGTTACATAATGCTTCCTTGAGATAAATGTTGTGTCTATTAGGTGCCTAAGAGAGCTCAGGTTCTCAACTGGCTCAGCCATGTTAATATTGTTATTATTATCCACTCTGTATCTGTGTTTTTCTGGTTAAATAAACTGTTTCAAATCAATTCAATTTAATCCTTTATGGGTTAATTACCCTGTACTGTATCTCCTTTCATACCAAACAAGAGCTTTCTTCAGCAAGTATCATGAAATTAAAAGCTTTAGTATATTCTTAGCAATGTAGCTACAATATCATTATTACTATTCTATAAGATACAAAAATAATATATATATATATATATATATATATATATATATATATATATATATATATATATATATATATATATATATATATATATATATATATAAGCCATCACTTTTAACACCATTGGTATTAAGCTACCATGAAATATATAATATTAACAGACTCAGAATATACAAAGTAAAGCTCCAATTTTTTTGTACTACACAATACAGAAGAACCATTACACAAAATTAGTGAAAAACACCATAATCTTATGTACCAACACTAACTCCATCAAGATGAATTAATTACAAATTTATTAAAACTACCATCTCAATTGTTAAAATTTATATGGTACCCGTAAAACACTTTGAAGTATTAGGCATGCTCTTGAAACACCCACCTTATGTCCCATATGCTTGACAAGGAAAAGTGCAATACCATATTCAGGTAAAGCTTGCCATGCACGAATGTACTGTAATTTTGCATCTGTTAGCGGCAAATCCTTGACATTGGCGTGGGCTTCCAAGATGCGTTGAACAGCCTAAAAGACAATGGAAATATGAGTACTTCAATAATGGAAAATTTGCAATGAAACATGAATTTATTGCTTCATCAGTATACTTAACATCAGCTAAAACATTAAAAACTGACCTAATAAGAGAATATGTATTGCACAGGCAAATTGAGATATATATAATACCTGTACTGTAAATTTAATCACATCCAATCAATATCTAATATACAACTACTACAGCCCAATAATTTTGACCACCCTGCTAAGTACAGTAGAAGGAAAATAGTGTGCTAATTTCTGGCTGTATTTAGACAGCCCAATGTGTACCTTTCTTGACCTAACTAATTGATGTATTTGTGCTTAAGGAATGTTTTTCATGTGCATTTTTAGGCAGCTAATAATCAATTTCTGTCGATTGAATGACTGATAATTAAATAAGTAATGTCAGCTGAGATTTAATAGCAGATAATATATTTCAATATAAAAATACTGTAAACGTGTTTAAAATTTCACAGCATCCTAAACCATTACTGACTTGAATTTGAAAAAACAAGTTTAATCATTCCCAGTGCTGTACCTCATCTTCAATAATAAAGTTACTGAACCATCTCATCCTTAATGTGAAAAAAATACAATGCATATACTGTACAGGGTATTGTATAAATGACGAGACAAACAGACAAGAGATTCCAAACCAAAAAATAATAAGAATCAATTTATCTAAAAAATACAGTGGTGCCTCATACAACATTAAGGGCAGTTTATCTTCAGTCTGGTGAAGGTAATACAGGAAAAACTGAAGCATGTTGCTGTGCCAGTGACATTTTTTTTTAAACCAAACTTAAAAACTTTTAAAATTCATTCACTAAACAAGAAGTGTAATGTAATCATTTATCTAATAATTTAATTTTGAGTGACAGGATAATACCACAAACATGTACTGTACTATCCAAGATGATAATCTTTATATCCACTTGGAATTACAAATTTAACATGGCAAAATAAAACTGAACAATTTCAACAATTTTAAGTCACAAATGAAGATAACACAAAGTGAATGATATACAGTATTTATGACTTACAAACTACTGTGCCATAATGGTATCTATTCCTTCTTTATTGTATATTCCCCAACATTAAACTTCAGTACAGTACTCTGCATGATAGAGAAGAGAATTCACTTGAATGATCTAGAACTCTAGATGATACAGTGCTCGACTTAATACCTTTACAATTTTCAAGCACTTAATTATCCTTCATAAGAGACAAATGAATTTCAATAGAGATTGCCACTTCAACTTGTAAATTTGTTTATTGAAAATAAAAAAATATTACTAAGTCCATCTAACTAACCATATACCAGTATACTTTCTTGATCATATTGAACCAAATTTAAAAGAAAAATAATTCAAGTGTTTGAAGTAGAATCCACATTTATAAATCAGTTTTTAATGAGCCAAATCCCTTAAGTGATAAAGATGGTGTAAAATAAGAATATGGGAATATAAGAATATTGTCATGCAGAATTTTTTTTTTTTATTCTTAATTAGATGTTTGAAGGTCCAGATTTGTTCAGGGACCAAAAACATTGGAAGAAAAAGCCACGTTAATTATTTTTTTAATATATGATGAATAGTTTACTTGGGAATCAATATACTGAAACACTTAAAAGGGTCAGTATGAGATGAAAAAAAATTAGCATTAACCTCTTCATTACGGAGAAGCCACTTCTGATATTTTATTTGGCTAATGCCAGACGATTTTATTCGGCTTAGAGGCGACACCGTACACAAGGGATTAATAGGGAATGTTTATAAAGTGATGCTAAGTATTATTATCTCACCAAAAGCCATAGCACAATGGTTGTAGAAAGTAAGGAATGTAGATAAAACACGTAATAATGACAAACTAGAAACAAACACTGTAGCTGATTTTGATAAGGAAACAAAATTTTAATGCAGAAGAAGAGTAATATAATTTAGATTTTAGAGTAAAAGAAGAAAGCATGGAAAAAACAAGAAATACCATTGTGAATTTAGAAAAGTAGTACATGAAGGCACATGAAATAAAAGATGAAAAGATCCCGATATAAATTATACAGTAGAATACAGTATAAGCAAATGGAAAACGTATGGAAACTGTGAAACAGAAAATCCAAACATGGGGTTTGTTACTCTTAAGCAAATGCAGTACTATAGATATTGTGGAAACAAAATTTGTGCTGTATTTGATACCCTTGAACATGGCTAATTAAAAAAGTATTTCAATCACCAGCTCATGTAACACAAAAGAGCACTAGTTTTTTCTTATATATATATATATATATATATATATATATATATATATATATATATATATATATATATATATATATATATATATATATATATATATATATATATATATATATATATATATATATATATATATATATATAGTGAAAAAACTACAGTATTCATCCTTTATGATAAATGCAGTATTCACTGTATCAATATTATCATACTGTATCAGTGTACAATATAGTCATCAATCAGTGTAATACTTCATTAGCCTTCAACAAACAATGTTGGAGAATAAAAACTGGTTGTGAGTACTTTACCACCAAGCATTTAATTATCATAGGGTTCAAAAAATACAAAGTGAAGATTAAAATGGAATCTTAACAAAGAAATTACAGGGACAAAAACAAATCATCAGGAAATATTTGTTTTAACACTGTAAATGATATTATTACAATGGTTAAGCCAGCAGGGTAGGATGAACACCACACTACAGCAAAAGACTAAATTTGTGGCTAAACTTCAAGCTACAAAAAATCAGCATTTTATGGAAAGTTGTGCAGAACACAGAAGCTATAGAAGTTAACATCTATAAGATTCAGGTTCTGTCTGTAAACATGCAAACAAATCTCAAATGCAGTTTCAATTCCTGGGAATTGAAGAATGTTGTACATATTAAAATGTTCAAGTTGGTGATGGACGAAAGGATATGCACACATCACACTCAAGCTATTAATTTACCATATATTCAGGTATAGGTCCTCCACACCAACCCCCCTGTGTAGAAGACAAGAAAATATGGCAGCTAAAATACACTAAACCAAACAAATATTCCAGAGCAAGAGTTCAGTCCCAGTACAGGCAGTCTTTTGACATTTCAAAATGGCAGTTGCCATGTAGTATCTGTAACCAATTTAACCCTTGTGGACATGTGTTAACACTACGAGTCATATAGTATCCACATCTATACAAATGAGATTGAAATAAGAGACATCTCATGATTATCATTGTTCTTTGGAAAGATACAAACCCAATACAGTACCTGTCTTTTTTTTTCCATTTTCTCCCTTTGCTCATTAAACTTATTCTCATAAAATTCAAACTACATGCTTTATTTATTGGAACAAATCTACTGCATGCCCACCATAAAAACATTTTGCTTCATAAAATGGCTGCACACAAATTAAAGTAGAAAAAAAAACGAATAAAATGAAAAACAGGTTCTCTTGGAAACAGGACTCAGAAGTTTGTCAAAATGGTGTGAAATTTCTTAGGATAAATCATGACCACAGGGTGAAGTGTTGATGACCTACAAGGGTTATTTTTATCTTTCACATTTCATCACTCAAATCACTGGAAACTTCTTCTGTTTCACGCTTGATTAAGAACAACATAACCATCAAGGCAAAGAAGTCCTGTGGGTGTTGGTAGAATATCTCATAAGACATAATTAAATCTCTGGAGACCTAAGTCATCTATGGCAAGTGGAGCGTTCAAATCTACTAATTAATTTTAATATAAAAGAGGAATTACAAATCTATACACCATGTACTGTATTTTCTCAGTTATCCAAACATAAAAGGTGAAAAGTATGATCTATGTATAGTCAGCCAAAGATGCATTAACCCCCTACCTTGGCTCTCATACTCACAATTTTACCTGGCAATACTTTGTAAAGTAAGGCTGTATGTAATGGAGATTGTGATTGGTGAATCTCTTTTCAGCTGTATCGCTGCCAGGATAAATAATAAACAACCCAAAGGTAGAATTTTTATAATAATAAACTATTCATTGTTATTTAAGATCATGATAATTTTCCAAATGTTCGTATATTTGCTTAAATAATGAAGAAATGAGATTAATGAATTGTCAACTCAACTACAACGAGGGCCGCCACAAGATTCTCAAATCTAATTTCTTCATTATTTTAGCATATATACTAACATTTGAAAAATTATTATGATCTTAAATAGCAATGAATAGTTTATTATAAAAATTCTACCTTTGGATTGTTTAATATATATCCCGACAGTAATACAGCCAAAAATTTATAAATCAATCACAATCACCATTAAATACAGCCTTACTTTACCAAGCACTGCCAGGTAAAATTAAGGGGACTAGAGCCAGGGTGAGGGTCAATGCATCTTTGGATGACTGTACCAACTCGGAAAGGGGTTATGTTTTGGGACTTGGGGTGATCATACTAAAGTAAACTTCATGATAACACATACAGCACCACTTCTAATCTTCATGAATTTCTTCACAAGTGATTTTTCTGCTATATGAACTATTATGAACAAATTCACAAAAATAAAAGGCCAGTTGAATAAATTTCCATTATGTCTCTTTAGAGAGATCACTTCCACAACTACTTACTGGTATTCATATTTCCAGTTTTGTTTTCAAGAATTTGCAATATCTTCAAGTTTCCAGCCTTTTGAATTAATTGTTTGCCCATACTTTGGCTTAAACACTGATCGTTGGTTAAATCCTCATTATTTTTGTATTTCTTACACAGTAGTATCCTTTTGATAGATATGTAACTGAACTGAAAATTCCAAACAAAAAGGAAATTGGATATTTCTTAAAATAAGAGTAATTGATGATTTCTAAATATTGTCCTCCAAAAACACAACTGTACTCTTTAAACAGCCCAACAGTCAGCTACGTTTTTCTACATCTAAAGCTAAAACTAGATAAGAAGAAAGGAGAACATATAAACTAACTAAAACAGTCACTAATAACAGTGTTTCTATAGAACAAAGGTGTGCAGTAATATCAACATCAAGGATAAGGAAGTTATGAAACAGCACAGCTAACTTGAACCACCATGATGTATGGATATAAACATAATGGCAAATTAATAAACAATCTTATGTGGCTCAAATAAGCATCTACTGAGGGAAATATATAAATTTAAGCAGATGTAGTTCCAAAATTACCGGAGAAGGTCCAGGTATGCAAGTAGTGCCTGGCTACCATTAAAAGAAAGAGAAGATTATTATTACCATTCATTAACACTATTATGGTGGATGATCTGACTATACCTGCATTAATACCTACTCATGTCATTATGATTCCAATTACAATATTAGAAATAAATTTCCTAATAATTGCTGTTAAGAACTTTGTGCATTTTAAATAACTCTATAGATTAGTAGAATTAAATACAATAAATCAGTTACAGACTACAGTACATAATAATATTATTTAGAAAATCCTAACCTAATCAAAAGGTTTTATTTTGGAGTACTGCATATACTGTTTCTGGTGTGTATATGTGTGTGTGTGTGTGTGTGTTTACCCAGCAGTAATTGGGAACCTGGATGTTAAACGATTTGCGGATCGTGTTCCGGGGTACAGTAATGGTTAGCCAGTGCAGTTGGCGAGTTGTCTGGTCTTCTCGGACTATTCCTTGACACTGGGTCATACAAATCGTTAACTTATGGTGTGGTTGTTGTGTTGGCAACAACTTCTACACCTTAAACAAATCCACGCCTAGGTGGCCCTAAAGCCGGCCATCCTCGAACACGAGAGGCAACTATTATTATTATTTTGTGTGTGTGTGTGTACATGGGAGTATATTTTGAAAATGGTTGTGAGTATGCAGTATGTGTAAGCATATTTAAAGAAGACATTATAAGGTATGAATAGGTTGAAATATCAGTTTATGAGAATTCCATCATTAATAATTTGGCCAATATCCTATATGCAGGCTCTTATTTATCGACACCACTTATCTTCCTTGTATTAAAATAAATTTCAACTCCTCTTATTACACACCTTTTCAAGACCTCGTAGTTTGCCTTCAATGTTCTGTTGGTATTCTAAGAGGTTTCCTAAAATGCACTAGCTTATTGTCCAACATTTCAAAGTTAAACTCAAAATATTGTTAAATCTTACATAAGCATAATCCCAATTTTCTTCCCTTGGCCCAAAACTCACTGACTACCACTTTTTAATCACCTTAGGTGACATCAATTCTAAATTAATCTCACTCAACACCAACTTTTTCTAGTCTCTTATCATCTTCATAAGTCTTATACATGTATATACAAATAATTTGTTTTATTATTAATACTTTTCAGTTTCACTTTCTTTATCACTTCTTTACTAAGCCTTTTCTCACCTCTTACAAAAGCTTTCACACATACGTTCACTCAAATTTATACCTAAGAGCAACTGTTTCAAACTTCATTTGATTTTTAGACTAGCCATTAGCCAATCAAAGTCAGTTGTCAGATTTTTAATTGCATTTTTCATTTAAACTTGTAACACTCAATATATTTATTGTTTATAAGCACAATTACTGTACCTGGTTTTATCAACTGTAAGCTTCTAGCTTGCTTGATTTAATATTCTGGCCATTGACAACTCAGGTCATTACAGCCGTGCGCTTCTCCCTAATTATTTTAAACATGATCTATTTTACTGTGAGTCAACTTTCAACACACAAACACACATACATACAGACATGTTGAATACTAAATTACACTATCAAGCATATGATTCTCTATAGAGCCCTGTAATTCTTGTGGCAAAATAGAGAGTACAGGCATAGCTATCTTTAACAATTTATCTACAGAGTACTGCTGCATATCTATATCTAAATACTTTTAAATAAACATTATATAAACTTTATTTCCACATGACAGGGATGCCTCATAAAAAATGGTCTTCTAAGTTAAAAAATAATACATGTGGAAGATACTGACCTTGCCTCGAATGCGTCTCACAAAACGTGGAGCCATGTAGTGTTCTGGCTGAATGTCAAGACTCTCTGGGTTAAGGACTGGGGCAGGGGCAGGGTGCTGCATAGACAGGAAGGCCAAGATTGACTTAACTTCACTGTCATAGGATGAGTCAGCCAAGGACTTGCCCTTAGAAGCCAACCGCATGGCTGCCATCCACCTAGCATATTGGTCTTCCTAAATAAAAAAGAAAACATACACATCCATCAGAGGTTATAAGAGTAATATTATACAGTATATCAATAATTTATAAAAAAAAATATACAGTATTGAAATGAGTGCTAGGCAAAAGTAAAGCCTGATAAAAGAATAGTGGAGTACAAATAAATAAAGAAACTAAAGAGCTACTGTAAAGAAAGAATTCCTATAAAGGGTGAAACCTTGAGAGCAAAAAGGAAATGGGCCAATAATAATGAAAGAGGGAATAAATACCATAGCGGAGAGAAGATATAGAGGAATACAGAAGAGGAAAATTCTTTGAGCAATTCCTAAATGCAATGGAAGAAAAAAATGGAATTTATCCAGTTTAGGACTTACCGTAGTTAACTGAAACAATTTATAAATATGCTTATGAAAGGTGAGGCACAAGGAGAGAGTGGAATTAACATATTCAGAAGAACCTGCAGTGAGATTTGAGTTAAAATGTGAAGGCCACACTCATAACAAATGCCATACTGCATTGTGAAAAATTAAAAAGCAACAGATATGAAACACTTGAGACTAATATGCGAGTTGAATAGGATGTAGAAAATATAAACCACAAAAAATGGGTCCTTAATTCCAAAAAATATTTTCAACCATCCACTTTCAGCATGTTATCATCACCATACAGTATTGTACCTGTAGAGTCTAATTTGTTTACAGGTAGTAGGTAGTAAGCAGCTACCAAACAGGGAGGTACTACCGCCTAGGAAGATATTGGAAGCATGTGTGGCCTAATGGTAGACCCTGCTGCCATATGGCATCACAAAAATTGTGACCAAGTCCCAGGTTACTGATCTGACTTCTGCCTCATTTACACACAATTGCAGGGTTTCAATTGTTTCTCTTACTATTGACAACACAACATACATACAGTGGGGTATGCTATAACGAACGGATCCTACTACGAATATTCCTATAACGAACGGTTTTACCTATAAAATTGAGAATGCTATAACGAACGCAACTCCTACAACGAACGCGGATGAATACCGGACTATTTCGTCTGGCGCATGAATATTGTTGTACCGCTGCTCCCAGCAAGAGTGTCAGGCGCCATATTGGTTCATTGTGTAGTCAGTGCACCACTGAACTTGTTGAAATTTCGTCGTCAATTTTATAACTATTTTGTTATACAAACAATTGTTGAATCGTCAAAAGCGAGTGAGAAAGCTAATAACCCTTGAAACTAAGAAAGAAATTATAAATAAACAGACAAAGTGCCTGTAAGACAGTCACCAAAGAGGGCTAGGAAGGATGACTCCTCTCCTTCCACCTCTTCTCCATAATTCTCTCCTCCCCCCTCCCCCTCTGCCTCCTGTCCTGTATGCTGAACAACACTAAGTAAGATAAAGTACTGTATTTTTTACAATTTCCACAGACATTTTTCAGTGTTAAGTGGTTGTATTTGGGGGCCTGGAACGGATTAATCCTATAACGAACGAATGCTATAACGAACGAGGTTCTAGAACCAATTAGATTCGTTATAGCATACCCCACTGTATATTGTTTCTCACTTTTGTTTTTTTTTCATTTTTGCATTTCTTTATTATTATTATTATTATTATTATTATTATTATTATTATTATTATTATTATTATTATTATTATTATTATTATTATTATTATTATTATTACATTTTCGTCCCCCAGCCCCTGATGTGGGTCAGTGACCTGTGCCTGGGTAGGCTAATCCCTGTAAAAAAAAAAATGTAAGTGAAAAACAAAATTAGGAAGTACTGTACTACATAATTATAAGATGATAAAATAGGGTGGAAATACTCACTGTTGCACACCTGATGATATAATCAGTCATGCCATCTGATGCAGGAACTTCTAGTTTAATCCCATAGCGCTGTTGTGCAATGTTGACATCAGGAGTCACCTCACAGCCCCGTAGGCTAATCTTCTCAATGGGCTCCTCATTGGTACTCTCACTGTTCTTATAGTAACGCAAGCTCATGTCCTTACATGTAAAATAATACTGCTTGAACCCTTTCAGTGTGAACCGACGTGGCCTGCAAAATGAAGAATTGTTTTATGTTTGTTTCTGGAACTCAATATTTACAATAACTACTTTACTTCTTAGGCATCAAGTTCAGTTTTCCTTTTCTCTTTGTTTATATATTGTACATTGCTTCAGAAAAAGACTACTGCCACTTCTTCATTTTCAATGATTCTCACATTGTGGCACAGTATAATACAGATACAGTATATTTTACAGTGAACCCTAAAAGATTCGGCCCGGTAAATCCGGATTTTGGCACATTCAGACAAAATTTGGGGGTTCTGGGGGCAAAGCAACCTCGTTAAGAAGCATTCCCAAAACTAAGGAAAGATCATCTTAGACCTGTGTACCTAAGGTAGTATTAGGTAGTAGGCAGCTACCAAACAGGGAAGTACTACCACCTGGGAAGATATTGGAAGCATAATGTGTCTAATGGTAGACCCTGCTGCCATATGGCATCACAAAAATTGTGACCAAGTCCCAGGTTACTAATCTGACTTCTGTCTCATTTACACACAATTGCAGGGTTTCATTTGTTTCTCTTATTATTGACAACACAACATACATTCTGTATATCATTTCTCACTCCCGATTTTTTTTATGGTTATTATTATTATTATTATTATTATTATTATTATTATTTTTTGTTGTAATTTTTATATTATATTTTTATTAATTATTATTATTATTTTTATTATTATTATTATTATATTCCCCCCCTCCCCCTAGATGTGGATCAGTGACCTGTGCTCGGGTGGGCTAATCCCTTAAAAAAAAATAAAAAAAAAAAATAAAAAAATAAAAATAAAACTCAAGTGTGCATGACACAGGTGCCCGAGGTAGGAAACATAAACAGGGATGTCAATTATTGTTAGTGGGAACATTATTTCATTCGCTCTAGTAATGGTACAATGTTTCTTATTATGTTATCGTAGGCAAATGCATGGTTTATATGATTTGTTTATCACTGTGCCCATCACCATTTTCAAATATGTATTTCTCCCATACGTACGCCTGGCAATGGGAGCAGTAAGGGGAATGAGTGACTGCAAAAGCTAGTTAAGCGCATCATCTGCTCTTGTAACTCTCCTTGCTCCCTGCCATATTTCACTGGATTTACTGTTATTAACAGTGTTTACTGATGTAACAGCACTTAACAGTGATTAATCATGGCATTATAGCCAGGTTAGACTCATTACTGTAACCACCAGGCCAAGCTGTGAGACGTTATGGTTGTTTTCAACTCGTATTTTCAGGTAGATATACAGTACTGTACATAACTTTCTTCATCTATTTTTACTCAGTTACCTGCACACACCATCCTACATACATATTGTGAAAAAGTAAAAGAAATAATTGTCCTAAGGGCAAACACAAAGGGAATATACATTTCTTTGCACATCAGTTAGCGGGCTCAGTGAGGGAGTGGGAGAGGGCTGAGTGTAGGGGGTGGGGAGCATTGCTAGGGAATCGGCGTCCCAGCTGGTCTCCGTTAATATGGGGAAGCAGGGAATGTACGCAAATGGCGACTGTGTGAAACTTTTATTTGGCTTTTATTTACTGATTTGGCAATATAGTACAGTATTTTTTGTTGTAACTTATTTATTGGTATTATTTTTATTTATTCCTCACATTTCCTGGTACTGTATATATTATTTTAAGAAAGCTACAGGAGGAAAATACACACAAAAGTTTTTTCCTAAATACTCCCTGCTAAAATAGGGGGGGGGGGGGAGGGCATCTTATATGCTGTAATATATGGTACTGTATTTTTGGTGTAATTTTTATACATTTAGTACATTCGACGGAAGATACAGACAATCGGCTTTTTCAGACAGGTGGTCCTCCCCACCACCCCCTTTAGTCCAGATCTTTGAGGGTTCACTGTATACAGTACTGTAAAAAATTTTGGTAGAACTACTTTATTTCAGTCACATTACATTAACCCTTATCTATCTATACCTGTGCTCATATAATAAAAATGCTTATGTCAATTTACTATCTTTAACTTCTATCTACAGCTATCACTGTTGACTTCGTTTATACTGTATGCAGTAACTTGGCAATTATGCTTCCTTCATTTTCTTTACATTCCAAACTTCAGATACCGTACAATCCCTCCAATGTATTCCTGGACAATAACTCCTCAGTATTCTTATGTCTTCTCACTAAGATAAGTCACTCTTAAAAACTATTTCAATACTCTTTATATTGTGCTGGGTCTTCCACTACATCACATACTGAATACAGGATATTTCACTTCACCGCAGATTCTAAACTTTCCCATTTGTCACAGCAATTCAAGCACATTACTCCAACATAATGATGTTTATAAATCTACATAATCAAAGTATAAAAATGACTTACTTCATGAACTTTAGATAATCTGCCAACTCAGGGATGTGCATGATATCAGCAGGAGTTGAGGCCACATGAGAACCTTCCAGGGATATCTGGAGCTCATTCAAGGCACGGTCAATGTCATCCTCATTCCCGCTGTTTATGTCTGGCTGTGGCTGATTTACCTGAAGGTTTACTTGAAGCTGAAAAAAAGGGAAATTACCACTTTTAACAGAACATAATTGAATAAAAATTAAGAAAAAGGTTATATGAAGGGCATCAACAACATGTGAACATACACAGAACCTAATGGTTATGATACAAGTGAGTTTTCTTCAACAAACAAATATAGTATACTTGTACTGTATATATTTTAGTACATAATTTTACAATTCTTTGATCAGTAGTAATTATTCTATACACCATTTAAAACCTGCCAAAATCTACAATGGACCCATACAATTTCAGTGTATTTTATTGCGACTATGTATTTGACTTGCATTTTTGGGTTACAAGATAAACAAAGTATTTCCTTGAATTTTGCATTATGTAACATATGAAAATACTGTAAGAAAAGAGCTTTATTCAATGTAATTCTAACAATTTGAATATTTTAAAAAGGATATTAAAATGTGAGAGTTTTCTGAAATTTAAAGCTCCAATTTTTATTCTCTTCAAAGATAAGAAAAAACATGTACAGGTACAGTACTGTATTTGTAAAACATTGGAAAATTAAATCACATCCAATCTTCCATTTTATAACAATACAAGATTAGGTGACATTTCACTAATACTGTATTGTACTTAACTTTCTCCAATCATTACATGCAGTCTACCAAATATTCATCTTTTTATATTACAGGGGGTCCCTGGGTTACGAACGGGTTCCATTCCCGAGGACGCTCTTAAGTCAGATTTGTACGTAATTCGGAACACATGCTATGTGCATACCATACTTACAGAACAATGTTTAAAATCCCACTATATCATAGCCTAAGTCCTTATATACACCTAAAATCACTTAAGTTAAGACAAAAGAAATAAACACAAAATACAATACAGTATAAACGAAAGTAAAAAATAAGTCATCAGGTAAATAAAACACTGTACAGTACTGTAAATTTAAAGTTTAACCCCGTTCGTATCGGTGGGCGTTCGTAAATTGGGGACCCCTTTACTGTACTGCTGTCATCCTTCAACCCTTTTCATTCTTCTTTTTCCTACTGCTTTCAATTATAAAAAATGTAACTACTGTAATTTTTGAAGGTTTTAAAGAATTACAAAAGTTTATTTACATTCCTTCACTACATGAACCTTCTCTAACTCGATCTCAAACAATTACAATTCACACTCACCTGGAGGGCAGCAAACATCAACATCTCTTCCTCTGTACAGTCAATTTCCTCATTCATGATCGACCACTTGGACTGTTCAAAGATGAGGTTAATTCGAACTGCATCATATTTTGGGTTTAAATCATAAAAGGAGAAGAACTTGAAGCGAAGTAAGAGTGTGTCAAAACCACGTACACCTTGTTCCATTATTGACAGTGAAGAATCAAGCCATCTGAAAATAAATAAAGTACCTTTAGTTTTTATCTTAACTGATAAATGTTTTAATAGTGCAGGCCCGTGAACTAATATTGGCCAGCTGAATAGAACGCACATTACATGCGACCAACTTGGTGACTGGCTGTACAATATACTCTTGATTTAACGGAATCCAACACAGTATAACAAACTAGTTCGCTCAATCGAGATTACTTCCATTAATAAGATCACACCTATGGAGGCACCTCAGACACATGATATGTACATAGAAACATTAGAAACATTATTCATGGCTTACCTTAAACTAGGGGTTTGGTGTTTGTTTTAAATTTTTTCGATAATTTCCAAACTTTTTCCAATTGATAGCCGCACTCTTTTGACTTTCTCCCCCCACACCACTTCCTTTCTGAGACTTCTGAGACTTTCAGCCTGATGTCTACGCGCAATAGTTAACTGACCGAGGGGTAAACTGACAGGTAGCAGTGAACAACACGTGGTGGCAGCAGGACACAGACTGAGTGGTTGAAAACAAATCCCAGGTGCCAAGCGACAGAATTTAATGGAATCACACTCGATTTAGTGAACTAGTTCGCTAAATCAAGCGAAAATATTGGAAATTCAATTTAGCGGAAATTTAGATTTAACAGAAAGGGGTGGCTCGAACTAGTCCGTTAAAACGAGAAAATACTGTAATGTATTTCATCAGTTGTCAGTTGGTATATACTGTACACGGTGAGTGCTTGAACTATGACTTGTGGAGATGCTCTGCATGTGCATTTCATACATGTCAGAAAATTTGAGTCATGCTACCTTACTTTTGGTTTCTTCACTAGTATTTCCTTTGAACAGATCATTCACTAAAAATATAAAAAAGTTATTTCTTGAGTCCATGTTGCTACCTAATGTGTTGTGGTGACTCACAATTACGATACAGTACTGCACATTGTATTAGTACAGTAGTAGGGTTTACATTGCATGTCAAACCCATCAATGTCTTAAGTCTTTGTGGAGCCACAAAGGAAGCTAACATATGCATTTACAATATTTAAAAAATTATCACAAAATAAATAAAAGGTACGTCATGCAAAATTTAATTCTTACCCTACATATACTGTAATATCTTTTCAAACAATAATTAACATCTTATAATCTTAATGTTTACTGCATTTGTATTTATAAAGACCATGAAATAAGAGTGTGAAATTGAGATAGTGTACTGAACTTATAATGCTGTAAAATAATAAAAATACAGGCACTTACGCTACATTCATACGAGCCCTTTCAAGAAGAGACTTGGGTCGTAGGAGAGAGTTGCGGGCTTGCTCTGATGGATGTAATGGGGAATTTGAGAGAGATGCACTCAAGTCATCGGCCCCATCAATGCTGTCCATGGTGGTGTTCAGACTTCCCACTCCATTGTTACTATTAAACCGCCAAGTACCACCCTACAAATATGCAAATTTCAGAATGTAAAAAAATTTGTATTAAATAAATTCCAGAAAAATTCTGTTCATTAATACAAAACTGAGAGACTTACCTCTATGGCAAAGTAGTATTTGATGAGCCATACTGTAGTATGAAAGAGGTTAGTTCAGTGGTAATCTAAAACCACGTTGATATATGTCTATACTAAAGACAAAATTTAGACAATTTAGATTGCAACAGTTTAATATAAAAGGTGTACACACAAAAAATATACAAAAGTAAAGGAAATGACCAAGACTTGTGTTTGTGACACACATGCCCCCACTGGCACAGATATCAAACTACGTACTTACCGGTATATACCAATCACATATCATAGGATACACCAAAGCCAAATTATTTTCACTGTTCTATGCTGGATCATATTCACTTAATCCTTGTTACAATTTTCTATCAGATGGACATACAAACAAGTTCACATAAATGTGTTCACTGTATACATGAAGAGTAGTGCATCAAAAGAATGTACTCTATTGCACTTCTCTACTACTGTATATACAAAGAATACCGATACCAAAAATTATGATACAAAAAGTAGTACCTGTATACAGTGCCAAAGTGTGTGTGTGTGTGTGTGTAACAAATGAGGGACTCTAACAGGGGTAATGCAGCATATAATAGAAGAGATAGGTGTACCGAGAATTAATGAAATAAGACAATGTACTAAATATGTTCTGCCTGCATCATAAGTTTGAGTAACGATGATATGATGAGGTGTCATGTTGACAGATTTACTCATCCATTGTTATTATGATAAAATTAATACAGAATTAATACAGTGACAATGAATGACCACTTTGAAAGGATAATACTGAATGTTCACTGGGATAGAAAGCAAAATGAAACTCCACTGAGCAAAGACCATACAGAAGCAACCACAGATAAGGAAGCAGTGAGAGACTGCATCCAACATTCTGTACTGAAATGATAAAATGGTAAAAACAAGTACCCGGTAGGGGAAACTGCCTTTATGGGTGAAGTATGTACTTGTGTAATGGCAAGCACTGGGTTGAAAGGAACTACAAACTCTACTATTGTGACTAAATTAAGCAAAAAATAATGCATCCAACTTAAAGAGACTGGGATCCCTCTTACACTATATTTAGATTATACTATTCCCTTTTAATACAATCCTGAGGAGTGATATTACCGGAGAGCTGATGGGTGTTTTGTTGGGTGAATGATGGGATGCTGCAGAACGATCCAGCGAGCCATTACTGGAGTTGTGAGTCTTGTTAGCTATGAATGAGTTCGTGTCAGCTGGTGTACCATTCTTGACTGTAGCACTGCTCTTCTTCTTCATTTGTTTCTCACTGTAATTGTGTTTAAGGTCGTCCACACTCAGGGGCTTACAAAATGACAGTTCCTCTGGGTACCGAATACCTGTTTTACAGAAAAAGCACTCATGAGTTTTCAAGTCTTAGAGGAACAGTGAAGATTTTCTGCAATTACTGTATAAAAAAAACTGAGGAAAAGTTGCACTTATAAAACTATATGATTCAAGTGCTATTCTAAACCTGCATTTCTTAACCGATTTGTCATATTTCACAGAAGAAACTTCAGTGCAACACCAACTCTATTTCTCACACATCACTTAGCAATGTCTAAAGATTTTAAAAGAAAGCTGTTTGCTTATACTGTACTGTATAATCTCCAAACTAATTGAATCATTTAGAAGAAAAGTGAATCAGAATTATTCCTGGGAAATTTTGATAAAAATAGATCTTACCCAGTTGTTTACAGAGCTGAACTACGGAATTGAAAGTCTTCTTTGAGAAGTCAACTCTGAAGTCCATGTAGCGTAGATCAGGTAGCTGGACACGGAGGGTTTTGTGCATGGGTGTAAATTCCAATTGTGCTGCAGCCCCTACCCCATATTGGTCCAGAGTGGAGCGGGTGTGTGTTAGCCACATATTTTTCTTGGGCCACCATAATGCGTGATCTGACCAATCAACAGCAATATCTGAAAATATTAACTTAAGTCAGCATACCGTATTCACATAGTTTGTAGTTATAAATAAACACATATCAGCATGTTCTGAATGTTAAAAATTAGTCATCTAAGCAGTCCAGTAGTACATGATAACATGACAGTGAGGATATATGTACAGTATATGGTAATAACAATGAAATAATGACTAGCTGTCTCACACCAACCAAGATACATAATGTGAGTGGGGATATATTTACTTGACACATGCAATAATTTCACAGAAAAAGTGACGAGTTGTTTCACATAAATTCAGAATGTATATTGACCAAAGAAATACTGTGTTTGTACACACAATCAAAAAAGTATCTTTGGAAGGGTCCAATGAATTTCAAAAGGAACATTGTGACTCCTGTTGTCTCGGCAGGGTTGTTAAAATTCTACATCCACTGTGTCATATTGTCTAACACAAAATGGACAAGTTGACGATTGCAATTAAAAAAAAAAAAAAGCACTTTAGTAAATACAGGGTGATACCAAGGGCGAGAGTCAGCCAGTTGATTTGTGTGCTTTGACAGTCACCTTTGATAAAAAACACTGTTAAAGGAAAGGAAACTGGTGCTTTGCGCCTATGTGTAAGAGCATGGACAGAGCCACACGAGGAAAAATATTTCTCTCAGTACAGAGGGAAATGAAGAGAAGGAAGATATGCTTCTTGAGAGTTTTCCATGTCAGAGCTCTGCTTCTACTGTTGTGAAGATCATTTCAATGTTAGTACAATATCAAGTTAATAGATACAGTACTGTACTCTCATGTCTTTAGTGTAGGTACAGTATAAAGAAATTACAGTTGTTATCTGGTATTATCGCATGTATGTATTTGATTGCTGGGTGCCAAAAAGAGGCATAGAAAGATGAGAACTTTTGACAGTGGAAACTAAAGCTTTCATCACTGATTTCCTTAGTTTTTGAAATCAGGAAAGGACTTGGGATAGACATGGCTAGATTACTTGCTTGGGAGTTGGGACAATCAGAGATAGGCTGGGGATAGCCAGGAACATGCAGGGGTGTCCTAGGGACAGGTTGGGGCCAAATACTTCACCCTTAACTGATACCTTTTGTAGTTAAGGTTTCATTAGGTTAGTGATATTAAATTATGATACCTTCGGTTGTTGCTTCTTATTAACTTTTTGATGTTTCTTTCAACATCCTGCCATGTACGTTATCAAGAGGTGAAAATATCTTAATATTCACCATGTGCATGATTTCCAAGGCTTATCTACAATATTATATTAAAGTACTTGGTACTTGGATGCAATGTTCTTATTTTTAAAAAGTAACTGCCACTCCTGATAACCGATGTAAGAATGATATTTTTCCTCTCACATTTTCTAGAGCAAATTTTAGGTACAGTACATGAACTTGTAATGACTGTTTCTCTTGCAAACAAATCATTATTAGAACCCCGAATCGATACATTTTTTCCAGCTAAAGAAGGATATGGAGAACTATCTCAATTATAATTTTTGTTTTGTATTTCTTCCATACTCCATACATCATACTGATGATTAGAAAAATAGGTTAAGATTCGTTTTAACATCTCTGCCAGTTAATGTTTTGCTATTTGGACTTTAGACATTGGTTATGTTACCTTTCAACATTCTTGGAGAGTCATTATTGGAGATGTTTCCCCAGAACCGTCATTGTATATTTCTTGATTGTGTGTACATCAACATCATTACCACCATCAAGCATCATGCACAAGTTCATAACAATAAAATTAAATAAAGAACCACTGTGTTTATGTACAGGAGTTTACAGTTTTAATGCAGCTCAATTATGAAGGTCAAATTGTTCCACAACATATAAGACAGCATTAATGATTCCCCATACTGTACTTATATTTATCCAACAAAATTAAATGAATATGGGAGAGCAAGCTTACTAATTATCGCTTGAAAAGTCCTCAAACCCTCCTGGAAACACACAACGTGTGTACCTTGATCTTTCCCTGTGACCTTGATCAGTTCAACTGCGTTTTAACTAAATTTAAGAACTTTTCCCATGGGGCTTTATTTACAAAAGCTTGTCAAATTTTCTTTGAAACTGAAGTTGTACGAGTGTAATCAACAGACAGGCAAGTTACCATACAGAATCTTAAATCCAGATTCAGACTGTTATCAGTATGTAAAATATCTGGTATCAACATGTGGGGATTCCTGTGATATTTCTCGAGATATTTTGAGAAAACACAAATGGAAATTAAAAACATTCATTAATAGGTCGCGTCCGTCTCCAATTTCTGCCTTGGACACCATGTCTTGACAAAACACTGCACTCAGCGTAATTTACATGGAGGAGTGAATGACCCCTGGGAGCCAGTACCAGTGACCACAAGAGACCTAACATGGCTCCTTGGATCTTTAACATAATGACACACGATTGGAGGAGGGGAGGAGGGGAGGGATAGGAAGGGGAGGGGAGAACAGGAAGGGGATAGAAACGGTAGGGAGGGGAGGTGGGAAAGTAGGGGGGGAGGGAAGGTAGGGAGGAGGGGTGGGAAGGTGGGAGGGGGGGGAAGGCAGGGGGAGGGGGAAGGCAGGCAGAGGGGAGGGTAGGGAGGGAGGGAAGGGGGAGGGGAGGTGGGAATAGGGGTGGGAAGGTGGGAAGGTAGAGGGGGAAGGTAGGAGGGGGGGAGGTAGGGAGGGGGGTAGGGAAGGAAAGGGCAGGTGGAAAGGTAAGGAGGGAAGGTAGGAGGTAGGAAGGGGTAGGGAGGTGGGAAGGTTGGGGGCAGGGAGGGGTGGAAAGGAGGTGGGAAGGGGTAGGGGGCAGGGGGCAGGAAGGTAGGGAAGGGATAGAAAGGTAAGGAGGGGATAGAAAGGTAAGGAGAGGGATAGAAAGGTAGGGAGGGGAAGGCAGGGAAAGGTGGGGAAGAGGATAGGAAGGGTGGAAGGTAGGGAAGGAGGAGGGACGGTCGGGAAGGAGGTGGGGTAGGAAGTAGGGGGGGTAGAGAGGGAAGGATGGCAAGGAGGGGTAGGAGGAAAGAAAGATGGGAGAGGGTTGAATAGAAGGAAGGAGGGGGGGGGGTAGGGGGAAGAGCACTGATGACGAAATGGGGGGGAAGTGGAGGAAGGGGGACCAAAACGTCGGCAAGGGAGGCAAGGTGGGGGAGAGTGGGTGGGGAGGGGAGGGGTGGGGAAGGGAGTGGTGGGAAGGTGAGCGGGGAATGAGTAGTTAGGGATTAGTGGAAAGGAGAGATTGAGTAGTCAGGTGGGTAGTCAGGGGTGGGCTGAGGGGTGGGGTGAGGGGTGGCTGATGGGGTGGGTTGATGGGGAGGGCGGGTCTAGGAGGAAGAGGGTAGATAGGGGGTGACAGTTAAGTCGAGCAAGATAGGTGGGCGGGTGAGATGGACAGGTGGCACAGGCGGGCGGGGGGGCAAGTGTCAGGCCAGTGTAGAGAGTTTAAAGGGGCACCTTGGTGGAGGGGGCAGAGGGCGGCGCCAAAATGTTGATGCTCGATTTTACTGCTGATGTCAGACCCGACCCTGCTACACCTACACGCTCACACCTACACATATACGCACACACGTACATTCGTGTGTGCACTCTAACACACAGATATGCACAACTAACCTATATATCTATGCGTACTCGTGCACACCTAAACCTAAATGTGTAAAACTAAACCTACATGCACACATATAAACACACAGACTTACAGTATAAGTAAATGTCCACATCTAAACCCACAAATACACAGCCACCTCTACTCACACATACCTCCACCAAGGCTTACACTCACACAAAAACCAAAACACGCACATAACTACACCGTGACCTATTCACACAGTGACCGATTAACATATTCGGGAATTAACGCTCAATATTCAGAATACATAACCGTCGTAGCAGTGAGGGTCGAGGCACACTCGGGTCCTCCTATGTTAATTTACAGGCACAAGATAACGTTACGATAACGGGACATTAACAGGAGCTCATGAAGATTAGAAACCACCACTTTTGAATAAACATCCTAACACTGCCTTAGGGGTTAGGATAGGATAGCAGCAGGGCGTTTAATCCTCAGGTGAAATAGCCAGGGGTCTGTAATCTAATGTGATCTCATTAACAACTAACTTCACCGTAACCTCCAGGTCGATAACGTCCCAGTGTTGGCAGGTTTTAGAGTAACACTGTTTTGGGAATTCAATCTTCTTTACCAGCCCAAGGTTTGCCTTTCCTGACTTGAGTGATAATGTTTCTGTCCCGATTTATTTCCAAGTGGGATTTAACTCTCGCAATTACACGTTCACCCTAGATTTTGTGTTTTTCCTTTTATTAATACAGTACAGGAACGTGTTGTAACATCTTTATATCAAATAATATACTTGAACGAAATGCATCAGAATGGGAGTAGGGGAGATCCACACCAGGTGTAAGTTGGCCTCTTGTACACTCGGTAAAAAAGCATCTCTCAGGAGGGGTACGATGAATTTGGAACTGAACAATCCTGTTGTCTCGCTCGGGTTGGTAGGCGTGATTGTGAGACATTTCCTACCTATTATGGGAGGCCTAATTTAGTTATTTAATTCGAAATATAAAATTAGTTCGTTGCATCATCATTGGTGAATAACAGTAGGGCTCATGAGCCCTTTTCAAAAACCTTCCTTCGTGGTGTCATTTTGTTCCGCACAAGAATTATTGTAAAGATAGCGTTTTTTACCGAGTGTACATCGAGCACAAGGATTCGTCTCCCAATGGTAAGAGAATCCGCCAATCAGACGTGGTCGTCCGGCCAGTGCATACCTATTGTTTGTTTGTTTGTGTGTGTGTGTGTGTGTGTGTGTGTGAGACAACTGGGGATCGGTTTACACCGCGTGCTGCTGCTTAATGAATAGTGAACACTGAGGAGGCCACCATAGATACTTGGTTACAGATGGGCGGGTCCACATACTACCACCACTCCTCGGTACTACCTGGGAATTACCATCTGCTACACCTACTGCCCAATTAACAGAACATACAAAAAAAAATA